AGAGAGAGAGAGAGAGAGAGAGAGAGAGAGAGAGAGAGAGAGAGAGAGAGAGAGAGAGAGAGAGAGTTTTCCATCGATAGGATGAGCAATGCACCGGCCAACAGATCAGGCTCCAACCCCGGGACTGGCCTCACGCTACTTCCATCGATGGGATGAGCAAAATAGAATGAATCTTTCGCGAGAACCTTGAAATATACACTACTACACGCACATGTGTGTGTGTGTGTGTGTGTGTTTTGATGTGTGTGCTTCAATGCACCCCATGGCAAGTTACACTATGCCAGGTATGATCCCCGATGACAGGTCATCGGCACACCTCTAGCTTAGGTAACATTCGCAAGTATGGTAGATTTTATCTGTAGTGACGAAGAACGACATCTACTCGAATGTTGGGGGAGGCAAGAAACGACAACGTGTGCTGGAGGGCACACGGGGGAAGCAAGAAACTTGCAACAACACATAGGTTGGAGGGCACGGGGGAGGCGGGAAGGCAGACAACACACAAGCACATAAGGTAGGGAAACAACAACAACCAGTGGACAAGGCAAGCACCAAAAAACATTAAGACAACACATAGGTCGGAGGGCACTGGGGAGGCGGGAGGGAAGACAACACACCAGCACATAAGGCAGGGAAACAGCAGCAACCAACGAAATAAGGCAAATCTATCTTCTCCACCTTTCCCATCCGTTTTTCTCCCATTCTTTCCCCCTCCTCTCCCCCTTCCCTCCCCCAACTCCAACGCCATGATCTCCCCACCTCCCACTTCAATTTGTTTTTTCTTTCCAACCTATTTCTGTTTTTCTTCATCACTTTTTCATTCCCGTCCCCCAACTTTGAATTTTTCTATTTTTCTTCTTTTGTCTTTCTCTTTAATTTAAATTTCTTCTTTTTCTCCAAAATTTTGAATTATCTTATTCCCTACTTCTTTTCTCATTTTCTGATTATTTTATTTTTATTTATTTTGAAAATTCAAATTTTGTTCCGGCACCTCTATATCTTGTTAGGACTTATTTATTTGAACTTATTTCTGCTATCGGCGCACAGTTTGACCCCTTGGGGGCAACGAAGTGTTGCCAAAATTTTCTCTTTTATCCCTACACTCTTCTTCCAACACATTTTGACCTCTTAGGGATAGCAAAGTGTTTGCAAATTGTTTTTATTTTCTTACTTAGTCATTCTTCTTGACGGCACACTTCGACCCCATGGCGGTAATGAAATGCTGCCGAATTTTTTGAAAAATCCAAAACTCAGTTTTCTCTTCACTCTCCTCCACCTCCCCATTTCTTTATTTCTTTATTTATTTTTCTAAAAAATTTAATTTGCGGCTATTTGAAACTTAGTGTGCTTCTCTTCGTCTCTCCTTCCTCTTGGTACATTTTTGGCCCCATGGGAGGTAAGGAAATGCTGCCGAAAATTCCAAAAGAATAAATATTATTTCTCTCCTCACCTTTTGCTTATTTCTTTCTTTCTTTATTTTTATTATTTATTTTCTGTTATTTTTATCTTGAAGTTTTACTATTTATTTATTTTTCTTTCCCCCTCCCCTCCATGGTTGTTATTTTCTTTTCTTGATTAGGTCGTCGCTACTCTACTTTAACTCCCCAAACTTCGGTTAGGGTTTTCTTAGGGTTTCTCAAGGGCTTAGGGTTCTCCTAACCCCCCTCTTGTCTCGGTTCCTCCCCTCGGGCACCCTGGACCCGAACGGAACCTCTCCCCTCGACCGGCTTCGTGCCACCCTCTCACGCGCGACCTGCTGGTCATGGAGTGCGCCGACTTATGACTACCCATTCCGCTCCTGCGGTCCCCTCCCTCTCACTGGTGGGCCTCTTTCTCCACACACTAACTGATCTCTTTCCCCACTTTCTCCACCTCCTGTCACGTCTACTCCCATCCATCTACCGCACGTGGACGAGAGAACATCCGAGGAGATTGTTGCGGCGTCATCCATCTCTCAGGGGCCCATTCAGGCAACAGTTCTCCGTCAGGCCCCTATGGATGGAGAGAGAGAGAGAGAGAGAGAGAGAGAGAGAGAGAGAGAGAGAGAGAGAGAGAGAGAGAGAGAGAGACAGAGATGACATTGAGACTTGGTGACTTCTGGGCCATGCCCAGTTCAATGACATTGCGACTTGGACACTGTATGAGCAGCGACATTGGAGGTTTATTGGAGACTGGGTTCATCGGGCTATGGTGGATGATCTCCCCTATCTCCTCTTCTCCGTCGTCTCTTCTCCCCCTACTTCATCTGTGCATGGTTTGCAACGACGAGTCTTCCCCACATGCCGATGGTGATGGTTGTCTAGTCCTTGTCATTGGTTGTGTTGAGTCAGATCTCGGTATTTCAGTCTTCGACTGTGCTATTTTTGCTCTATGTCTATGAGGTTGGTTCTTGGTTATGATCTTTGCCTTTAGGCATGCGACAAAAAACCACCACCTGCTACATTTTTCCAGTCTGGTTATTGTACGAGATTTGTGTCGAGGGTTTCCCTTTTTTTTGTTTCAGGGGAGAAAAGAAAGGAAAAGAGGACCTTATTTTGTGTGGATCGGTGCATGGGTGTGAAGCAGAGCGCATGCGCACGCCATACGAGAGAGAGAGAGAGAGAGAGAGAGAGAGAGAGAGAGAGAGAGAGAGAGAGAGAGAGAGAGAGAGAGAGAGAGTACTGACACAGCTGTGGTTGTTGTTGTTGGCAGCGCCTTTATCTGTGAATGCAACGTTGCCGAGTAAAGGTCCAATCCTTGGAGGAACGCGTGTCACATTCCGACTTGCTGGAAGTCATGGGTTGAATGACTCAGGAGTGATGCCTGCAAACATTGAGCTGAATGCCACATGCCTGTTCGATGATGTCACGGTCCTCGGTGCGTTCTTTGGTGCCTATGAGTTTCTGACGGAGCCGAGCATCGTCTGCACATCCCCAACAAGTGACGTTGGACGTGCGTATGTGCAAGTCTCTCTAAATGGTCAGGACTACTCTGCCACATCAGGTAACTCCTAATTGCAGCACTTACCCTTTCTTATGATGATGGTAAATTACGGAAATGAATCAAGTGAAATTTCAGGCATGTTCACTTACACATCTGCTCACATGTGCTTTTATGTACAAGAGTCAGTGAAAGAAATAGGCCTATACTGGTTTCATTTGGAGGTCACCACCTCTTCCCACAGCTTTTGTACGGAGTGTTTTGGAGGTCTACCTCCTCCCCTAGGGCCATAGCATTTGGATTCTGAGTGTTTCAAACAGTCGACGATGGCAGATGACAACATTGGGAAACACTTACCTCCTGGAGAAGAAGTCAGCACTTTTTTGCACACTTGGTTCGGACATGGCCAGGTGGGCACAGTAGCCTGTGGCTGTGTTGGTGAGAGAACTGTTCATTATTTTATGGTGAAGAATACTGCTATGCCTTAGAATGTCAGATAGGCAGTTCTCCATGTGCAAGGAGTCAATGGTCATGAGCACATCTCAATTTTGCCTGATTTAAATTTTTACAGTTTTTTTCATTTATTGAATATCTCCTTGTTTGGATATGTTGCGATGATCCCCCACTTCACACACGGATTCAGACTCACAATTCGCTCTTCATTACATTGAATCTTGCACACAAGACACGAGATGAGAATGCTAGGAGATTGCTGGAAGTTCAAGTCTTATACAACATCTGATGTGTGCACACGCTTGCAGCTATGGCCGCCAAGTTCATACTCTGGTAATTCTCACCAGATTGGCACATAATTCCAGGAATCTTCCGGCCTTCCCCTCCCTACTCAGCGTATGGGTTAGCCAGCCAACAAAACCGTCAACATGACAGCACACGGGCAACCGACAGGCACCACAAAACCTATTTCAACGTAGGTGGCGAGAATCAGTGAAATCAAGACCTATTTCACCGTAGGTGGCGAGAATCGGTGAACTCACCGTGATACCAAGATGCAATGATCTAGCAACTGAGAACACAACTTTCAGGATGAAAGAGCTCATTCAGAACTAAGCATGAGTAGATCGATTTGAAAGCAGAATGCCGGCACACCTATCCAACAACACACTGAACACTGATGTCCCCTGACAATGAAAGCCTTCTCCGCACATCCAAGGATAAATACAACAACAGAGTAGGGAAACTATCTATAATGTTATGTGCCTGATTGAAACGAAATCCAACAAGGCATCCACACGTTCCCATACATGTGCGCAATGGCAAGTGGACTTGGAGAAAGCAATCCACACCAGACCAGATGAGGAAAATACACAGCGGAAGCACACAAATACCCAAAATAGAATTGAATTGAAAATCAATTGTAATTACCATCTCTCCCCAATTCAATCAGGAACACAAATTTTCCCAAGAACCCAAACCACGTTATCAACACCCATGGAACAATTATTTACAAAGTTCCATCAAAGTATCCGGGAGTCGTCTTCTTCCACCCTCTACCTCAAGCTCTAGCTATGGTGCTTGTAAGCACCCAACCTATCAAGCCTGCCAAAATAGCCATGTTATGAACCTGGTTGTTTGTTGTCAAAAGACCAACACTCGCTCACATAGACTTCCAGGTATGCCCATACATACACAGAAGGAAGGGGAGAGGATGGGAGTATCACACCGTGCAGGGAGAGATAAACACAGCGGAAGACTTGGCCATGCGATATGACAGAAAACACTGAAAGTGCAAATCACTCCACAGAATCCTCACAATCAGTCACAAAGGAAAGCCGAGTAGATCACATGCAGGAAACAATGAAGCAAAGATAGTCCCAACACAGTATCAATACTGTTTATTAAACTCAGAGTCTCGAATTGTCAGAATCACCCTAGAACCATGGTGCGCTGCTCAGAATTGAGTAGTGCTTCGCTCCCCAACCCTGAATAACCGCTAGAACTACCCCTGAGTCCCTGAAACATCAAGCGCCACCCAGATACTGCCTCCAGAGGGAAGCACCACCCTGAAACAGGCCTCTGAGGCCAAGCGCCTCTCAGCGGATGAAGAAGAAGACCAGCGCCACAGTGTCTGATGATGACGAAGTGCCAGAAGACTTCCCAGGTGGAAGTCTGTAGCAGCGCCACCTCTCCTGACAAAGATGAGCTCTGAGGAAGGAAGCTGCAGCTATGGCTGCAGCTCCAAACACCCTGAGACCCTACTCCTGAGGAGGGTTCAGCAGGGCACCCACTTCTCTTGTCTTAGCAGACCTCAGATAGCCCGGACCTCTGAACAGCCCCACGTGCTGTCAGAGCACAGCGCAGGTCCCAGCTATGGCCATCACTTCGCAGGTCCGGCTATGTCTGTCTCCCCCAACGCTGAAGCTGTCACCACTCCAGTTAAACCACCAGTCCCCCTGACATCAGAAACCTCGGGGGTACCGGTAGCCCCCCTGACGTCAGAAACGTCGGGGGTACCGGTAGTATACAGTGGAAAACCGGTCGGCCTGAAAAATGGAATTTGCGGAAATGCACCAAATCGGCCCGGCGAATATTTGACGGTCAAAATGATTTATCTATTTTTTTCTGATATTTTTCCCTGAAAGATCACTGCAAGGAAAATGAGCAATAGCAAGAAGGCAATAATCAGAATGCACAATCACATTGAAGACCAGATAGTATCACAATGTCCAGAGAGTAGCATTGCACCAATATAACACCAATGAAGAATCGTAACACTGAAAACCAATGTCAATGAGAGCTTGCTCTCGCCACCACCAACATGATTATCCAGGCCCTATCTCCCTACTTGGCGCTCGACGCCCAGCCTACTCCCTACACAGCTACTACTAGCCTACTAATTGACAATGCAACTGTTGATGTCAGCAGCCAACGAAGTACTTGAAGATGTCGCCCATAGCAGACCACCGCCAATACCAGGTATGTGCTCTCACATCATCATCATCATCATCATCATCATCCTTCTCTCTCTCCCTTGTCTGACACCCATGTCTTGCCTCTTCAAACCTGAAGACCACCCATGCACCTCACTGTACATCCAAGCCCTCAGCCAGCTATGGAGGCTGGGCTATGGCGCTGCCCTGCTTCCACACACGACCGCACCTGCGCAGCACCTTGCTCCAGCGCTAGCAGCCAGGACGCGAGCATGAGCTCCAGCAGCGCTGCCGCCAGCCAGCAAGTGCCCGAATGAGGCTCACCGTGGCGAGCTCTTTCCTATATGGAAAGAGCCTCCTGCCTTCGCAGCCCTGGCTGGACGGGCCTGGGCCCAGAAGCTTCCGGTAGGCCCCAGGATGCTGCGCCTNCAGAAGCTTCCGGTAGGCCCCAGGATGCTGCGCCTCAGGTGTAGCTACTGGGCCTCATTCGGTTGGGCCTCCCAACTGTCTGTGTATGAGGCTGCAAATCTCGCCCAGGGCCTGTGCTTTCAGAAAAGCCTAGAAGGCCTGGGAAATTTCCACGCTGCTTGGCCTGTGTTTTCCTTCAACCAACTGGCGCGACGAAACTGCCTGGACCCCAAATACGAAATTGACAGCCAAGGGCCTCTCGTGATTTGTTAGGCCCGCCTTCACTTAGGGCGAGCATAGATGCAACAGGGGCCCCCTTAGGCCTGCCAAGGGCCTGAATTGCTCACATTCCCTCCTCCTGTACTTCGATCGTCCCCTGAGAAGTCTTCTATTCTGCAGGCATCTTCCCTTTGAGATCTCTTTCGTAGCCTGCAATGACTTGAGGTGCAGTTCTCATGAGTTCTTCTTTGCTGAATCACCGATCTTCGTTGGGATCCAGATGATGTTTGAATCTGACTCGATATTGCATTTTTGGCTTAGGAGGGCGGCCTTTGCCCGGCGGTCGAGGAACAGGCATCACACGATGCTCCACGATCTGGTCGATGTCCACTTCGCCATCCATGGTTGGGGGCAGCATTGACTGTCTGGAAGGGAACTGCTCAGACTCTGCGAAAGGTGCCAGCTTTGAGGAGTGGAAAACAGGATGTGTGCGTAGGTGTGGTGGAATGCGAATCACATAGGAGGGTCCGTCTACCTGATCTCCCACTATGTTTAGGACCTCCCACAGACCGAAGTATTGTGGCATTAGTTTTCTAGAGATTCCAACTTCCTGTCCCAATTTAGATGACTTGACCCAGACTTTGTCTCCTATCTGAAAACTAGATGGTCGTCCGTGTTTGTTCTCAGATGCTATTATAGCATCTTGAGAATTTCTAATGTGTTCAACGGCCTGTTGCAGCATCTGTTCGTATCTGACAGCAAACTCTATGCTGCCTGGTGCTGCAGTTACCTGATTTTCAGGTAGTAGGAAATCAAGGGCGGATCTGGGCTTCCAACCAAGATGCAGTTTGTTGGGAGTCTTGCCGGTAGAGCTGTGCACATCGTTGTTGTACAGGTTGGCGACGAGTGGTAGCTTCTCGTCCCAGTCATCCTGGCTTGGCTTGATGTAATGCCGCAGCAAGTGCTGTACTCGGTTCATTTGCTCCGCCTGTCCATTTGACTCATGGTGGTTCCCTGATGTCATCCGTAGTCTTGACTCATGGTGGTTCCCTGATGTCATCTGTAGTCTTGACTCATGGTGGTTCCCAGATGTCATCTGTAGTCTGGTTCCCATCTGCTGGGCTGTATTTTGCCACAGTTCGGTAGTGAAACAGACATCCCTATCACTAACGATAGATTTAGGTAAGTCGAAGTCCCGTACGAGTTATCCATAAATAGTTTGATGACGTAGTCAGTCTTAGCAGTTTCTGGCATAGCCATTAGTCTGGCATATTTGGAAAAACGGTCTACTATAACAAAGATGTGCCTTTTCCCTGACCTGCTGGTCACAAGAGTAGCCATCAAGTCCATGGACACACTCTGACCAGGACCTTTAGGAATCGGCAAGGGCTTGATGAGCCCGAGCGGAGCCTGAGTCCTAGGTTTGTCCCGTTGGCAAACCTGGCAGGTTTCAACGTATCTCTTGGCATCTTGCATCATAGTTGGCCACCAGAGTCTTTGTACTAGGTTAGCTGATGTTTTCCTATAGCCAAAATGTCCGGTTGCATC